CATCACCGGGCGGCAGTGGCACACACCTTTAATCCCAGCACTCGGGAGGCAGAGCCAAGTGGATCTCTGTGAGTTTGAAGCCAGCCTGGTCTACATAGTGAGTTCCAGGACAGCCAGAGCATGTAGAGAAAACCTGTCCCCCACACACATTCAAAGAAAAGTAGGACCGAACCTAGAGCCTTGCACTTGCTAGGCAAACACTCTACCACTGACCTAAATCCCCAACCCCAATTGTTCTTATTGTATATAGTCTTACTGGGTTAGAATTAAACCTTCCTTTTATTTAGAAAAAGAGGAAAATGTTGTGAGATATTTGACTATACCATGTAAAGATTTGTCACTGTGTTTGGTTTAATGAAAAGCTAAATGGTCAATAGCTAAGCCAGAGGTATAGCAGGGACTTCCGGACAGAGAGAGCTCTGGGAAAAGGAAAGCCAGGGTCACCAACCAGAGGCAGAGGAAGCAGGATGGGCAGTACAGAGTAAAGGTAACCAAGCCATGTAAAAGAACATAGATTAAATGTTAATTTAAGTTATAAGAGTTAGTTAGAAACAAGCCTACGCTAAGGATGAACTTTCATAATTAATAATAAGTTTCTATATCATTTTTTGTGAGCTGGCAGCCCAAAGAAAAATCTGTCTACACAGGGGCACACACAAAAGCACATATATACACATATCATAACACACATATACACAAACCATAACTATTCAGTGTTTATCTATAGGAAGTGGCTCTACGGATGATGAAATCTTTTATTATCTTTTTGAGATTTTAAGATAATTACATCGCCTGGGTGGCAGTGGCACACACCTTTAATCCCAGCACTCGGGAGGCAGAGCCAAGTGGATCTCTGTGAGTTTGAAGCCAGCCTGGTCTACAAACCATCTCAGCCTTCCTTAGTTGCCTATAGTTTTTGGTGTAGGGTTGAGGCCTCTTGGGCTTTCCCCAACTACTTCAGCATTTCTATGGTTGTTGTCTTTGTTCAGCTCATGTTTACACAGTCATGCTGGTGAGACTTTATGGGCATAGCTTCTGACATTCTCAGGAGAGACACAGTCAAACAAAAAGCTCACTGATCTGCAGCATCTTATAACCTGTCTGCCTCATTTTCCTCAATGATCTCTGAGACTTAGCTGTATCCGTTGGGACTGTACCTGACAGTACAACAGTACCTTACGTGTGCCGTGTGGTTGAAACACAAGTTCAACAACCCTGCATTTTTATTATTTGTAGTTGTTTCGAAGAGAAGTCCTCTTGTTGAGGGGTGAGTACTACACTGATCATGGGTTCAAGGACAACTAGTTAGAATGTGGTTAGGGATTGTGCTGGTTTAGTAAAGTGATGGTCTCCAAGACCCATGACTTCACCAGCCCTGGGCAGCTGGCTCGGTTTCCAGTACCAGGCATGATTTCCCTCCTGTTGAGCAGGCCTTGCGCCCAGTTAGAGAACTGCTGGTCACAGCCAAGGCATGTGCACCCCTGCTGCACCCTTAGGGCTATCGTGTCTCTCTGGTCATTGTTGCGGTTCATAGACATCATAGCTGGATAGGACTGTTGGTTGCTTCCCTCATTTAGAAGCTTGCAATGGTGCCTTCTGGTACCATGAAAGTTGGTCCTCAGAGTGGACGCTTTCAAATCACTTCCAGCTCAGGGATCTCCAGACTCTACATCTGAAGTACATGGTGTTCTTCACCATTATGAACTTATCTTGAACTTCTGGGGAGCAACCAAGGGCAATAAAAATGGTCTGTAATGTGTTGGAAGTCTCTTGGAAAACCCTGACCAACACTTGAAAGAGGGCTTCCTTATGTCTGATATTGGGGTTTTTGATCTTGAAGGGAGGACTGTAGACCCAGATGGAAAATTCCATTTAAACTATACATGTAATGTATTTTATACACTGAATGATAATTTTTAATGCCATATAATATTACTATGTTATATTTAATGTTGATAATAAGAATGCATGCACTAGTGGGACATGATGGCACACGCCTTTAATCCCAGCACTTGGGAGGCAGAAGCAGGCAGATCTCTGTGAGTTTGAGGCCAGCCTGGTCTACATAGTGAGTTCCAGGACAGCCAGAGCATGTAGAGAAAACCTGTCCCACACACACACCCAAAAAAAAGTGTATGTGTTTTATAATCAATTTAAAATACATGAGTATGGGGCTGGAGAGATGACTCAGTAGTTAAGAGTACTGGCTGCTCTTCCAGAGGTCCTGAGTTCAATTCCCAGCACCCATATAGCAGCTCACAACCATCTATAGTGGGATCTGGAATAAAGTTGATAGAGCACTCATATACATAAACTAAATCTTTAAAAAAGTATAGGTAAAAATGCATGAGCATTATTACAGAAGTAAAAGTTAATCCTTAGATACAAATGTATCAAAGTCAGTCCTATTGCACATAAAATTAAAATTCAGACAAAACTAATCCATAGTGATCAAAATCAAACATGACTGCTATGGAGATAGAAGGGTCAATCAGAAAGGGTCATAGGGAATAATGAGTAAGAGAAATGCTTACTTTGATGTGCACAGTAGTCCCTCAGGTTCATAGATCTATAGAAACTAATCAAATTGTATAAGCTCCATACATTTTTCTATGTGAAGTTTAACTCATTAGAAAAAGCCACTATGGTCAGCAAAAGTGTCACATACGCACAGCATAGATGTCATAGTCCATACGTCTACATGACAGCTCTAGTTATAAGTGTGTAAAACTGATACCTACATGAGAGTGTGCTGAACAGATGATAGCACGGTAACTGGAGACTGAATCAAATGGAGGCTGGAGTCTAATAAAACTTCATTTCCATTTTTGCTGATATAGTATTATTCGTGGGGTGGTGTGTGTGTGTGTGTGTGTGTGTGTGTGTGTGTGTGTGTGTGTGATTTCTTTTTAATTCAACTCCTTTTTGTAAATGCTGCTGCTGTTTTGTGCTACTGTTCCAGGAAATTCTATACTTCTGACATCAGTAACTGAAGAAAACAAAAGGCAAAGGACTGGCGGGGGAAATATAAGAGTGACATGCCACCCAGGGTCTCTTTTGGTTTGTTATTATTGTTGTTATTGCCTGTGAATTTGGACTAAAACTCTCACTTTCCCAAACGTCTCAAATGTTGGCTGTTGGGAACTCCAACTCCCCTCAACTCCAGCATGGCCCTGAACCCAGGTGATCTATCTGACTTGAGGGACAGAACCTCCCTCAGCAGCCTTTTCAAATGACTGCCAAACAGAAGACTCCTACCTGGCTTTGGATGATACTGAAGGACTGTCCCATGTCAGAAATTCCTGCAGGCCTGGCAGTCAGCTGCACTCCCACCCTCGGAGGTGTCTTTGCTGAGAGCAGTCCCATGAACATGCTCACACATCTCTAATATGAAGATGGGAATTCAGTGTAGGACTTATTGGGCCCCTACTGAAGGCAAGTTGCCATTTCTTAGGGTTGGGTTTCTGTTCCATGCCTGGCCTCACTAACAAGGTGAAAGAATGCTGAAGCAAAAACATGACAGCTAAGGAGAAAAAGCAGAAAGTAGCAGAGGGCGTGGCAATGTATGGGTAATTTTACTCTTCTGACCTGCCTCCTAGAACTTAAGTCCAGAGAAGATGAGTTAAGAAAGGCTATACCGGGGCTGGAGAGATGGATGGCTCAGCAGTTAAGAGCACTGGCTGCTCTTCCCAAGGACCTGGCTTCAATTTCCAGCACTCACAGAGCGGCTCACAACTGTCCGTAACTCCAGTCCCAGGGGATGTGATACCTTCTTCTGGCTTCTGTGAGCACTCCGTACACATGGTGCACATGCATGCAGGCAAAACACCCACACACATAAAAAATAATAAAATAATAGCTATTTTTTAAAAGAAAAGCTATACTTGAGGAATATTTCTATTGTAACCGCAGAAATTTCCCTGACCTTATAGAGTTCCTGACACCATGGGAAGGAGACATAGCATTCTTTCCTGAGCATGAAGCCACTGATGATGTCGCTTTGCCACAATGGCTACCTGCCGTTGATGAGTAGCCTTCTCTTCCATGGGAGAACAAGAAGAAGGTGCCATGTGAGTGGTTTCTTTCAAACTTGAGGGGAAAATGTCTTAAGAGTAGTCAACATTATACTAAATGGGGAAAACCTGAAAGTGTTTTGTCTAAAATCTGGAAAAGACAAGCTTTTCCAATTGCCTCCATTCCTTTTTTTCCTTCTCTTTTTTAAAATTTATTTTTATTTCATGTGTATAAGTGTTTTGTCTACATGTATGTATGTGTACCACATGCATGCAGTGTCTGTGGAGGCCAGAAGAGGTCATCAGTTCCCCTGGAACGGGGTTTACAGACAGTTAGGAGCTGCTGTGTGGGTGCTGGGTCGCAAATCTGGGTCCTCTGGAAGAGAAGCAAGTGTTCTTAAGCACTGAGCCTTCTTTCCCGCCCCATTCCCTCCACTTTTATTCAACATAGTACTTGAAGTCTTGGCTAGAGTGCTAAGACACAAGAAAGAAAGAAAAGTGATATAGACTGTCAGAGGAATCAAACTGCCCCTGCTGTCATAGAGGTACCATATGCTGACAAGGTGCCATTGGAACTCAGGGAATTTATCCCTTTTTCAGATGGCATGAACCTACACTTAAAAGAGCTGTAAGAGTCCACCAGAAAATGTTTAGATTTGACGAATTCTTTCAGCAAAGAAGCAAGACACAACAATCATCAGCTTTTTCATATACCCATAGCAAACTAACCACACACACAGAGAGAGAAGAAAAAAAAAAAACAGAGGAGGGGATGGTAGATGGGGATCTCATTTACAATACTTTCAAAGGGAATAAATACGAGGAATAAACTTGACCTCTGCAATAAAAACTTTAAGACACTGAAGAAAGATTTGAAAAAGTCCCTAGAAAAATCCTCCATGTTTATGGACTGGCAGAATTAACATTGTGAAACATGCCAATACATTATCAAAAGCAATCTACAATGCACAAAAAATAATTCAAAATATATCAAAGACTTTAATGTGAGACCTGAAACTCAAACAGCTAGGGAAAAGTACTTCCAAGTAAAGACATACACAAAAACTTCCTGCGAAGGACTCTAGAAGCACAGGGAAGAATTGCAAGAATTGACAAGTGATACTATATGAGCTAAGGAAAAACCTTCTGCACAGCAAGGGAAGTAATGACCTGAGTGACACAGCCCATGGAATGGGAGAAAATCCTCACCAGCCACGTATTACTCAGGGCATTAATATCTAAAATTAATATTAATAACTAATATCTATAACTCAAAGATTAAACAAGCCAAACCAAATCACCCAATCAATAAATGGCAAGGGCTGGTGAGATGGCTCAGCAGATAAAGGTGCTTGCCAACAAGTCTTGAAACATAAGTTCGATCCCTGGGGCCAACATGATAGACGTAGAGAAACAACTTCAACGTCGCCCTCTGACTGTGGCATGTGTGTGGTTGCACACCCACACATGTACACACCTACAAAATAAATTTAATAACAAATAAATGATAAAAAATGAACTAGACAGTTCATAAAGAAGTAGAAAGAGCCAATTAATGCTTGAAAAAGTTCTCAACTTCCTTTGTCACAGAGAAATTCTCATGAAAACTGATCTGGGAGCTAGGGAGATGGGGAGATGGCTTGTGGCCATTGTAGGCACTAGTTACTCTACCAGAGGACCCGGGTTCAAGCTCCAACACCTACATGGTAACTCTGTTTGCAGGGGATCTGACACCCTCTTCTGGCCTCCACGGGCACCAGACAAGCACATGTGGCCCAGACATACATGCAGGTGAAACAATCATTCACATAAAATAAAAAGAAATATTTTTAAAATATATAAATAAATAAAACTGCCTTGAGATCCCACTTCAACCGAGACAGGTGGCATTAAAAAATAATAAAATAAATGCCATTAAATGCTGGTAAGGATCTGGAAAAAAAGAGGAGCCCTTACTCAGTGTTGGTGGGACTTGGGTAGCCACCATAGAAATCTGCGTGTTGGTTCCTCAAAAATCTGAATTCGGAACTGTCAGGTGGCTGAGCTGCAGCCCTCCTGGATAAGACAAGGGCTTTGAGTCAACAAAGCACAGAGATGCCGGCGCATCTGCAATTATTGCTGCGCCACTCACAGCAGCCAGGAAGTGGAGACAGACCAGATGCCCATCAGCAGCTGAAAAGAAAAACAAAGTCATGACATCTGCAGGGAAATTATTATGTTACAGGGAATAAGACAGGCCCAGGAAAGAAAATGTCATGTTTCCCCTCCTATATGGACATATGCATGTGTGTGAGTGTGCTTCTGGGTGTGTATGTGTTTATATACATGAGTGTGTTTGTAAGTCATAAAACTAGGAA